GCTGGCCTAAAATAAGAGCTGAATGTCTGATGAATATTATGTTAGCCGATGGTTGGTGTTATGATAACGTTAATGATGTTGATGATGATGTTAATGATGTTGATGATGGTGGTGGTGGTGATGGTGATAATGAACATGGCTACGGCGATTAGGGGATGACGATGATGATGATGAAGTGATGTGCTGATGATGATGGTGTTGTGATGATGGTGAGGATGTCGATAGTAGTGTTAGTAGTGGTAATGTGTGTTTGTGTATGTATTTGTTAATATAAGAGAGAGAGAGAGAGAGAGAGAGAGAGAGAGAGGAGAGAGAGAGAGAGAGAGAGAATGAGTGAGAGAAAGACAAGGGTCACACTCACAAACGAAACGATTCCAATTAATTCAATTTATACGGAGTTTTGAGGGATTATTTTTGATTATGTTGAATTTGTTGAATTTAAATAATTCTCTAAACATGTATAACAGCTGTAAAAGTAAACGCACGCACACATACCACACACACACAAACACGCACACATAGACACACACACACAAACACACACAAACACTTACACAGACAGAGTTTTTAAAAATTTAATCAATCCTTGAAGCCTTAACTAACCGACAAGCTGTTGCATACGAATTGTTGACTTCTGAATCAAGTAGATCTCGATCTAATGGAGATCATTCGCTGGCAGTAGCGGATTTACGCACAGGCACCGGCAAATATTTTTTAGGAACGGCAAATTTTGAAAATCAATTATTCAACAATGCTGCTCAAGGCAGATTAAATTATTATCAGTGTAATTTTCTGCTCTACTCAAAAATAATGGCTATTATTTTTAATTAATTTAAATTCTTGAAAAATCGAATAAACACACATCAGCACATACACCATCGATAATTTTTTTATTTAAATATATATTTATAACTAGTGACAGAAAGAGTGAGAAAGAGAGAGAGAGAGAAATTCACATAAACAGAACTGTCAGAATATTGTTTTCAGTAATCAACAAAAATAGTCAAAAATAAAACACAAACAATTTTGCAAGAGATTATAAAATCAGAAGATGTTAACGAGTTAACGGGATAGATTAATACTCTAAAAGATAATGATATGCAGTAAATGTTAATGATATTTTAGTCTGAACGATACTGTTGCCAACACAGAAACCACTTTTCAGGATTTCATTTCACATCCTTGGTCCAACGCAAACGACGTGGAAATACGGGATATTAGTTTTATGGACTGATAGCTAACAAATTTCCCTCTATTTTACATACAGTCGCAATTTATCAAATAAAGCGAATAATTTATTTGTATTTAACGACTTGTTTAGTATTCATTTCAAAGTAATGGTGAGACTTGTTTAGTATTTATTTCAAAGTAATGGTGATATCTGAGACCTGGAAAAAAGATATGTCAGTTATCCTCAATTAGCTTACCTGGTTATTGTTTTGTTTTACGTTTAAAAACAGATTCAATAAGCAAGGTTGGGGCGGTGGTGTAATGTAACATGAAACATTTATTTATCTTGCGATGGATTCTGAGCTACGTTACTTTGATATCTGTGAAATTTTCAAGAAATACAACTTTTTCAAGATTTCTTTTACAATTTTTATTTGTTTTATTATAATAATATTGGTTCAAGTTGACAGGGAATATATATATATATATATATATATATATATATATATATATATATATATATATATGTATATATATATATATATGTATATATATATCTGTATCTATGGTTCTTTAGAGCCAATAAATAAGGTTATCAGGTTATCATCCTTTTGAAATTAAAGGACCACTTAAAAAATGTGTGTCTCAACCGCGAACCACTACTAAAAATTTTGCTACTGGCACATTTGAAATATGTATATATATATATATATATATATATATAGGATATATATATATATAGGATATATATATATATAAGATATATATATATATATAATTATTATTTCATATGATGACGTAACAGCAGCACTTAGTTGGTATAACATAGTTCATGGTATAACTATTAGACTTAGATGTGTGTGTGTGGTGTGTGTGCGTTTACTTACAGCTATCATACAATGCGGTTTCAAATAAAAAATTCTCAAAACTCTGCGGATTTAGCAGTTTGCGGATTTTGTCTGCGCGGTTTGCTGCCGATGCGGATTCAAGTGCTTATTTGTAATGTTCAAAAATTTTCATAATAAAAAATTTGTTTTTTTTTGTTTGTTTGCATGTATGTACGTGTATGAGTGTGTATGTGTGTTTTGATGACCATAGCTGAGTCTCTCTGGGGTCCACATTGATAAAGCCAAGCAAGCCAACTAATTACTTTAACAAATTTGAATATAGAAAGTTAGTCCAATGTATACACGTCCACACACACACACACACACACACACACACACACTCACTCACTCACACACACACACATGTATATGTAAATGTGTGTGCATATGTGTGCATATACAAAACTTGTGTGGGAAGTGTATTTATCTTTGATACTTGACACATTATTAACATCATATATACACATACACATATACAATAAACACATACGTATACACAAATTAACATACATACTGTACATACATACATGTATATATTTAAGTACTACCAACATATATATCTATATATTCTCTTGGAAAAATTGGTTCATGATTATGGTATTTCCGGTACTGTTATCAAGTGGTTCAGATCATATCTGTTTGACAGAAAGCAACAAGTTGTCTTCAATAATGTGTTATCTAATGAAACGGTTTTGACATCAGGAGTGCCACAAGGTTCAGTGCTTGGGCCTATTCTTTTTATCATGTATACCGCTGAAGTTTTTAAAGTAATTGGTAATTTCGGTTTTAAATATCATGCCTATGCTGATGGTATTCAGATTATAGTTAGTAATAAGCCAGAATTACTGCAATCTGAAATCAACAAATTTGTAACTTGCCTAAATAACATTGAAAATTGGATGTCAAACAATGGTCTTAGATTAAATCAGCAGAAGCCAAAATTTGTTCCAATAGGTACATGGCAGCAGCTGATGAAACTTAATATCGATTCAGTGAAAATAGGAGATGTTAAAATAGAATTTAGTGACAAAGCAACTAATCTGGGTTTCATTCTTGATTCAAGATTATCGATGCATGTTCATATAAAGATGATAACAAATTCTTGCTCCGGACAGATTCGAGAACTCTATAAACTCCGTAAGTCATTAGATAAATCTGCTATTCATACCTTGGTGCATGCATTGGTTCATTCACGATTGGACTATTGCAATGGTCTGTTTTACGGTTTGCCAGATAGGTCTATTTCTGCAATTCAATCCATTCGGAATAGAGCAGCCAAATTGTTGGAGGTCATAAATTTAACCATGTTACTCCAATTCTTAAGGGCCTTCCTTGGCATACTATAATAAAAAGAATTAAATATAAAATATGTATTTTAATGTATAAAACTGTACATGGCTTGTCAGATATATTAATTGATCCTAAACGCCCAGGTTTACAATCGTCTTCTTGTTCTTACTTCTTCTTAACTCGTGTTAAACACTCTTTTGCCAAATCTGTTTTTGCTTTTTCTGGTCCTTTTCTCTGGAACTCTCTACCTACTTTTCTGACTATTTCTCCATCACTTACAAAGTTCAGAACGGATCTCAAGACCCATCTGTTTGCAAAATTCATTGAGGAGAGCTGTTGAACATCGCGGAAATAGCGTTTTATAAACTGATTGAATGAATGAATGAATGAATGATTGATTGATTGATTGATTGATTGATTGATTGATTGATTGATTGATTGATTGATTGATTGATTGATTGATTGAGCCCCAAGCGGATAACCGCATGCGGTTTCAAACCGGTTAAAAAAATTTCAAAACTCCGCGGATTTTGCTGTCTGCGGATTTTGCTGTCTGCGGATTTTGTTTGTGCAGTTTGTTGCGGATGCGGATTCAAGTGCGCTATTTAAAATACGCCCTCAATATTAAATTTTAAATTTTCAAAAATTTTCATATTAAAAAATTTTATTTTTTGTTTGTTTGCATATATGTACGTGTGTGAGTGTGTGTTTAATGACCATAGCTGAGTCTTTCTGTAGTCCACGTTGATAAAGTCAAGCGAGCAGCTTCTACTAATTATTTCAGCAAATTTTAATATCGAAAGTTAATTCAATGTTATAGTGTTATAGACGTCTAAACACACACACACACACACACACACACACACACACACACACACACACACACACACACATACTTACTTACATATATATGTGAATATGTGTGCATATGTGTGTTATACAAAACGTGTGTGTGAAGTGTGTTTACCTTTGATAGTATTAACACAAGTGTTATTATCGCCATATATACACATACACATATACGGATATATCTTAACTTGGTCTTGAAATGTTGTCGAAGTCAAGGGAAGGTTTAAAAGGTGAAAAAATTTCAAATAATTTAAATAATCCACGTTGATAAAGTCAAGCGAGCAGCTTCTACTAATTATTTCAGCAAATTTTAATATCGAAAGTTAATTCAATGTTATAGACGTCTAAACACACACACACACACACACACACACACACACACACACACACACACACACACACACACACACACACACACACACACACACACACACTTGAAATTATTTCAAATAAATAATAAAACTAACCCCCAGAAACAGCAGATATTGTGTTACTACATCTATGTGTTACGATATCTATATATAGGTACGATAACTTTCTTTACTTTGTTAATTCTTTGTGATAGTGACATTATAAAATATAATATTCAAAATATAAAATTTAAAATACAATATTTAAAATATAAAATTTAATCAAGTTCAATCCAATGTCAATCCGATATCTATATATACGAGAACTTTCTTTACTTTGTTAATTCTTTGTCATAGTAACATTCAGAGTAATGTGCTCTTTTTTGTATTGTGAGTGCGACATTTTACAGCTAAGTGAGCGAGAAATTTTCTCACTGACAATTTACAATTTACGATGTCGAGAAGACGACCTGACCTAGTCGTTGCAGTCGATCAAATGAGGGAAGAGCTACCTCACGTGCTAAATAAACCGCACTGATGACCAGAGAGATACAGATCAAGAAAATAGTGGTATTGTTATGTCAGAATTGCGTTATTTAGTGAGTGATAATGAAGTAGATAGGCTTAGAATGCAACGAGTTCGTGCACATCAAACACAACAACAGCAAGCACGACATAATGGAATTGAGCGAATCCGCAGACTGAGTGCTCCCGTGATTCTTGAACGAGCTGCATTCCACTATGATCCGGCAATTGATTATTGTGCCGACAAATCGGTAAAAATTGGGGAAATGAAAATAATTTGTAAATATTGTAAGGCGTTAAAATACACTCATGAATCTATTAGATTATGTTGTGCTAGAGGCAAAGTAAAATCGCCACAATGGTTCCACCACCAGATCCTTTACGATCATTAGTTTCTGGGATTGGAAATGATTCTAAGCACTTCTTGGCCAACATTCAAAAATATAACAGCTGTTTTCAGATGACATCATTTGGCGCTACACATATTATACAGAACAATTTCATGCCCACTTTCAAGGTATTATACCAGAATATTTTTTTTATAAAATTCAATATGTGCTAAAATATATATATCGAAAATAATGAATCGACAAATTTAAAAAAACGACAGATACAAGGACAAATTTGTCACTTACTGGGGACACTGCTATCAGTACCTGATGCAGATAATAGATTTTTACAAATTTATTTTATGAGCAATTCAGATGCGGAAGATGATAATCGTTGTGCTCACAATCCAACAGTGAAGCGAACCATTGTTCGTGAATTACAAATGTTCCTTCATCAAAATAACAATTTAGTAAACATGTTTAAAATAGCATTGGATCAGATGCCATCTGGTAGCCATAATAGTATCATTCGAGCCGACAAAACACCTGGCGGTGAACACACAAGGGGGTTTAATTCACCTACCATTGACGAACTGCAGTCTACAAACGACTGCAGAAATTTACGATAAGATAGAAGATATGTGTTTATTGATAACAAATAAAGTATTGTCGTGTTTAGGAATGACAGCACCGAATCGTCATATGCACGATGCATTAAACACGAGTTGCAAAGAGAACAGTATGACATTGAAGCATTGGCCGAAACAGTTCGTACCAGGGCTTTGGAGCAAGCACTTTTTTGAATTGCTCCGCTCCAGCTCCGCTCCGGCATAAAAAAAGTTTGCTCCGCTCCGCTCCGTGCTCCGAGGCGGGAGTGTGTTTTAGAATCAATTAACACAAATTTTTTCAAATATTTTTTTAATCAATCAATTGATTGATTTTTAGTACCACTTCCGTAACGTATAGTTAAATTGATGAAATATACAAAAAATTAAGAAAGTACAGGTTCTAAAAATAAAAATGATACACCATACAGACACAAGATAATCAAGTTAAGTCAATAATTCAATCATTCATTCTAATAAACAAAATAGCGGAAAGCAAATCTTCTTTCATCGATTGTCTGTTATCACTTAGTATA